CCCCCCCCCCCCCCCCCCCCCAGCGAGGGGGGGGGGGGGGAGGGGGGGTGCGCACCACACGGGTTGCGTGCCTGGCGGGCTGCCACCGTAGACTACTGCAGTTCTGCGGAGCGTTGACTAGAGTGATACTGCATCTTTTACTGAACACCTCCCCCCCCCCCCCAACCCTCACTTTAATCCGACTTCTCCCCGTCGTCATCTTGGTGGGTGTCCCCGTCGTGCCCGTTCTTGTCCTCCTTGGAGAGGTGAGCTTGGGAGCCCAGGGCAGACAGCGAGAGGAGCCCGGTGCCGGCGCTGACAGCCGGGAGGGAAGGGGGCTGGAGGCCCACGGGCAGTGGAGTCAGGGGGAGAGCCAGAGCCTGGAGCTGCGAGAGCTGGTGAGCTTGAAGCTGCTGCTGTAGAGAATGATGGACAGACAGACAACGGGAGAGGGTCATGTGTCGTTTGGAAAGCGTGCGGCCCCCACTCCCCTGGGGAAGCCGCTGCCTGTGGATAACCCAGCTACAACAGGGCTTCAGCATAGAATCTCAGGGCTGGAAGGGACCTCAGGAGGTATCTAGTCCCACCCCCTGCTCAAAGCAGGACCAATCAAAGTGCCGTCTTGGCCAACAGCTGGGATGGAACCCGCGACCTCCAGAACTAAAAGCGGAGGCTGCTCCGGCTCTGTAGGGCCTGTAACCGACGCGCACCCCTCTGCGGATCAGGCCCAGAGGGGGACCTGTCACCCTCCCCCACTCCCCAAGAGTTACACTCATGCCTGAGCCACGTCCAGACCAGGCTACGGCTTTAGGCGCTGCCGTGTTCCAGGCCCTGTGGGTGCGTGGAGCCAAACCTGCCGTCGCGCTGGCCCTGCCTCATGTTTTGACCCTGTGCGGGAGCAAGGCCGCTGGGCGGCAGCCAGGCTCTAGCCCTGTTCCTGTGCTGTGTGTCCTGGAGCCAAGCCAGACGGACATCCCCAGCCCTGTCCAGACGCTCCCATCCCCGGTGCACACAGCTCGGCTGCTGATGCCGGAGGCAGCTTAGAACACGGCCTGGCCCAACGCAGCCCAGGTCGGTCTCTTATCAGCCCCTGTTATTACATGCGCTGGCCGGGCCATGCCAGCCTGAGGCCAATCATACAACCCAGCCTGGCCAGGGCAGAGCTGCAGCCAGCAGGCTTCAGCGGAGGTCAAATGCACTGCCGAGGGCACATGTGTGCGTAGGGTCTGTGTATGATTTGGTGAGCAGGGCTTGGGGGCTACGCTGCTGGCAACAAGGGTGTGCAAAGACCCTGCGTTGGTTTGGATGGGGGAGGGGGGCAAAGACCAAGGGGACGGAGCTCAGAGCCCCACCGGTCCCCCTGCAGAAGAGCTAAAACCTTCTCCACTCTGGCCACACCCTGTGGCATGCCAGGGCCTGTCTGCTTTAAAGAATTCAGGCGGGTGTCACTTGGTTCCTGCACCGCGTTTAGCCAAAGGGATCTGAGCCTGGCGTTCACGCTGCCCTCCCCCTCCCGCCCGCTCCTCCCCACGGCCGCTCCTAACCGCACATCACGTACACGGATGATGGAATTCAGCTCTGGGGCGGTCACTTGCTTGGCTCGTTCAATGGCTCCCAGGACCTGCTGTTGGTGCTGGGGAAGAGAGAAGAGAGGGGGAAAAACAAGACAGCCAGAGTCATTTAAAATCGCTGGGCGTTACTCAGCATGGCTGGGTCCAGCCCAGGCCAGTGACCCCTAGGTTCCCCCAGCAGGTTGCGCTGCCAGACAGGTTAGACTCATCCCCACCTGGGTTAATTCCTGTCCTAGGAGAGGCTCAAGCCAGGAGGGAGATTGTAAAAGGGCCTGATCCTGCCATGTTCCCTGTGTATGAATGGCAGGAGGGACGTCCCCCCAGAGCATGCGCTGCAGGAGCCGTCCCCATACCTACAGACACCGCTGGGTCTTGCAGGAGCCGAGTTTATTCCCTACCGGACGCCCCTGTCCCCTCTGGGTTTACTTGTACCTGCGCATGTGAACTCTGACCCAGGGAAAGGTGCCCGCTCGCCAGCCCTGGCGACGGGCAGCCTTCACCTACAGAACACACAGCACCGGCAGGGCAAGATCCCCCCCTTCTGCCCCACCCCGATGACTCGGACCCGGACTCCGTTCAGTCCTCTGCCTACGTGGCACGGCTGCCAGCGAGCAGCCCTCTCTCGTGCAACACCCCTCCCCGCCTGCAGCATCAGACGAACTGCCCAGGGGAAGATACACAGCAGGAGAGTGGGCAAACCAGAGACAAGGCCGGGGAGCAGAGAGAGCAGGCTAGCCTCCAGCTGTAGACGGAACAATCCCTCCAGATCAAGGGGGAGAGAGACTGGCAAAGCCAGGAGCAGTAGAGGGGCAAAGGGAGGCCACGTGGCCACTGCCCGCATGGCAGGCGGCTTTCGGGTTATCAGCCTGACACGTGCCCAATCACAACATTCACGTGAGGTCTCAGGGAGAGAAGTTGCCGATCAGTGGGCTGCCTTCCCCTCCCCCACCCTGAAACAACTTCCCACCCCATCCCGTCACCTCAGCTGCATTTCCAAGGAACGGACGCACCATTTTGCAATACTTTCCACCCCTACCCCCACCAGCCCATCTCAACACAAACAGATCCAGCAGCCACAGACCAAACCCTTGTCTGTTGTCCAGCCCCCTACAGACCCCGGAGAAAGAGGGCCCCGTTAAATGGCATAAGCACAACACAAAGAGTTAAAAAATCAGAGGATCACCCGACATCAAGGATCGGCCACACGCTACGGAAAGAGAATTAAAGGGCAAAATGCTGCCACAGCACACGGGGCACAGGCTCATACTGGGTCAGGAAGCTGCAAATTTCCTGCTTCTTGGGGAGAGAATTCCAGGTTCTCCGCTCCAGGACAGATGCCGTCCCTGGAGGGAACGGAGGAGCGGAAGGAATGGGAACGTTCCCCAAGCCTGAATGCTTTAGCATTGGCTTCCCCTACAGAGCTACAAACCCAGTCACTATGGGGGCACCTACGCATCCCAGCTTAAACCAGGGCCTTAGGGGGATAGATGTGAGAGAACCTCTGTCCCTAGGAGCTCACGAGCTGAACAGGCCGGTGTTACCCCCTCTTCACTGATGGGGAACCGAGGCACAGAGAGGGAAGGCCCAAGAAGTCTGTAGCAGAGACAGGAACGGAGCCATGAACTCCTGGATCCTAGTCCAGGGCCTTCACTGCAAGACACATTCCTCTCCATAACACAACCACCAGCCCAGACTTTTCCAACAGAGTTATGCCTAGGCCAGTGGACTCCTGGGTTATGTTTTACAGCCAATGCAGAGCACCCACTCAAAGGCCTATGTATTGTTTCAGGCCTGTTTATGGCCTTGGGGGGACATCTTCTGTCTAGTATAGTTAGGGGCATGGGGCTCTACACTCCCTCACCTTCCCACCACTCATGGTGCCAGAGGTTGCCTCGGACTACTCATAAAAATGGCCAATTGGGTCAGATCAACGGTCCATCTAGCCCAGTAGCCTCTCTTCCGACAGTGGCCGATGCCAGGTGCCTCAGAGGGAACTAACAGGATAGAGCAATTATCGAGTGACCCATCCCATCATCCAGTCCCAGCTTCCGGCAGTTGGGAGGTTTAGGGACACCCAGATCATGGAGTTGTGTCCATGACCATCTCGGCATTGATGGACCCATCCTCCATGAACTCATCTAGCTCCTTTTTGAACCCAGTTATTCTTTTGGCCTTCACAATATCCCGTGGCAATGAGTTCCACAGGTTGACTGTGCATTGTGTGAAGAGATACTTCCTTATGTTTGTTTTAAACCTGCTGCCTACTCATTTCATTGGGTGACCCCTGCTTCTTGTGTTATGTGAAGGGGTAAACAACACTTCCCCATTCACAATTTTATAGACCTCTATTTTATCCCTTCTTAGTTGTCTCCACCGCCCCGACCTCAAACTCCCCTACCAGCACATGGCTCATGGCTCAGTAGGGTAGATCGATTTAAACCAAAATGATTTAAAATCATCAATTTTAATCATGATTTAGATCAGCAAGCAGCACCCTTGATTATAATAATCCATTTTAATCTTGTTTTGCATCTGTACTTTCTAGTTATTTTCCTAAAGAAAGGTGGATTCTCATTGGTTGGTAACAAATTGATTTGCAACTAAATATACCCTTTAGCCTAAATTAAGTGCTTCTTTTTGCCACCCAGGAGGATATACTGTATCTATTCACGTTTATTTAAGCAATTCTATAATGTTAGAAGATGGTGAATGACTCATTTCTTATTTACTAGATGATTAATTTTTTAATTGTGGTGTGTCAAGCTCTTCCACTTGGGTGGAAATACAAAATTAAAAAATGCACAAAAACATTTGGAAAATTATTAGTTAAATAAAACTACATTAAATGGGCAGGATATGTGAGAAAAAATTAATCAAAACATGTTTTGCATTTAAAACTAACGGATTTATTAAACAAATGAAGTATTAACTGTAGTTAGTGAACTGAACTGATTGTTTCTGGTCACCGTGTCGTTCAAGATATTATAACTAGCAGATCTCATCCTTTCAGACCTCATTTTTATATATAGATTAGAAAATGACAAAGGGGGAATATGATAGAGGTCTATAAAATTATGAATGGTGTGGAGAAAGGATAAATAATACTTTACTTTCACACAATGAGAGCCAGGGACAACCAATGAAATTAATTAGACAGCAGACTTAAATTTAAGATAAGGAAGTATTTCTTCACACAACACAGTCAACCTGTGGAACTCATTGCCAGGGGATGTTGTGAAGGCCAAAAGAATAACTGGCCTCAAAAAGGAACTAGGTAAGTTCCTGGAGGATAGATCTATCAATGGCTATTAGCCAAGATGGTCAGGGATGTAACCCCATGCTCTGGGTGTTCCTAAACCTCTGACTGCCAGACAACGGGGGATGGATCACTTGATAATTTCCCTGTTCTGTTCATTCCCTCTAAAGCATCTGGCACTGGCCACTGTCAGAAGACAGGACGCTGGGCTTATGGACCATTGGTCTGACAGCCTGGGACCATTCTTACGTTCTCAACAAACGTTCCTGCTTTTTCCAATTCCCAATTGCTTTCTCAATTTTGAATGAGCTAGTCCCCGAACTGAATAAAGTTGAATAAACTAAAATGAAGGCAATGTTCCCCCTAAACCTGCGGAAGAGGGTACAGCAGTCCAAAGCTGAGTTAGCACTTCAACAAACTCTGGTTAAAGGTATTTCGCTGGTGCCTGCTACCAGCTCAGTGGTTTGACTTTAAGACTTCGGGTGCAAATATGTGCTGCTTAATACGATTTAAAATTATTTTAACAGACTAGAGTAAATTTAGGCCTTAACACTTTTGTCACAATGTCAAATTTAATTTTAAATCTATTTATTTTGAATAAATTGTATTGAAATAAAAACACTTTTTTTTTATTAAAGAAATGATGGATTTTTAATCCACCCTGGATCCCTAGTACAGCTGGACTCTGCCACCTGGAGGCCCCATGCACCCCCCCTAAAAAATCTCATTTCCAGTGCAAGAAAGCATCACGGAAGAGGGGTCAGGATTTGCTCCAACTGGACACAGGTCCCTGTGCAGCACCAGAGCGAGTTTTACCCTTTACTTGGACCATGCAGCAGACTCCAGGCTACTGCCGGAAGCAAAGGGATGCTTAGAGGCCTCAGAGCCCCCATGAAAAACAGCAAGGAAGAAACACTGGTTAGTTTAAACACCCAAATATTTTCTCCAGAGATCAAATGCTCTCTGCCTGGAATGTGACCTGGGCACAAATTCTGAGTGACAGGCAGCTTAGAAAGCCATTGGGAAGGCTGGCACCAATGCTAGAAAAATTCAGAAAAGGTACTATTGTAATTGGCCCATGGAGGTGGCAATAGGAAAAAAAAACAACAACTCCAAATATAATCTTCAGCAAGTAGATTCTTCTCAAGCTTGGCATAGGGGCAGGGTGAGAGCCCTGCGATAAGAGAGAGAACGTGTAGCTGTGGCTAAGTTACTCGAGAGCTCTGATCTGCAAGTTCCTTAAATTCTCCCCCCAAAGGAGAACAAAGTAACCCCCACCCACCCCGTACCACCCCAATGGCGGATTCCGGCCACAATTCCACTGAGCGTCACATCATTTTATGAGACTTGTACTGCAAAGGTAAACACTCCAAGACTGCTAAGTCAAAATCAGATTCTCCCCCAATGCCCTCCTCCCTCTCTTTTTAAAAAAAAAGAGAGAGAGATAGCCAGTGTATTAATTAATGAAGCAAAGGAACTAAAATATTAAGGAACAGACACATGGAGGGTTTTTTTTTTAAATACACACTCCATCCTCCTAATTAGCTGCCAGCGTGCCCCAACCATAGTTCACAGAAACAGCCGATGACTCTAATCATGGGAAACGCACGGAGAGAGAACAGAGACCATCTTTGTCTGCGGCTGCTCCACAAAGGATAGGATATTTTAGCCATAACGTGCAGGAGGGAGGAGAACACTCCAGTGCTATTTTAAATGTTTCAGGCCAGAGTTTCAGAAGGGGCAGCTCTAGGGCTGTCGATTAATCGCAGTTACCTCACGCAATTAACTTAAAAAAATGAATCGCGATTAATCGCAGTTTTAATCGCATGGTTAAACAATGGAATACCAATTGAAATGTATTAAATATTCTGGATGTTTTTCTACATTTTCATATATTGTATTTTGTGTTGTAATTGAAATCGAAGTGTATATTATTTTTTATTACAAATATTTACACTGTAAAAATAAGAGAAACAGTATTTTTCAATTCATCTCATACAAGTACCGTAGTGCAATCTCTGTTGTGAAAGCGCAACTTACAAATGTAAATATTTTTGTTACATAACTGCACTCGAAAACAAAACACTGTAAAACTTCAGAGCCTACAAGTCCACTCAGTCCTGCTTCTTGTTCAGCCAATCGCTCAGACAAGCATTTACATTTACAGGAGATGCTGCTGCCCTCTTCTTATTTACAATGTCACCAGAAAGCGAGAACAGGCTCTCACATGGCACTTTTGTAGCTGGCGTTGCAAGGTATTTACATGCCAGATGTGCTAAACATTCATATGCCCCTTCATGCTTCGGCCATCATTCCAGAGGACATGCTTCCATGCTGATGACCCTCGTTAAAAAAAAATAATGTGTTAATTATATTTGTGACTGAACTCCTTGGGGGAGAATTGTATGTCCCCTGCTCTGTTTTACCCGTATTCTGCCATATATTTCATGTTATAGCAGTCTCAGATGATGACCCAGCATATGTTCGTTTTAAGAACACTTCCACTGCAGATTTGACAAAATGCAAAGAAGGTACCAATGTGAGTTGTCTAAAGATAGCTACAGCACTCGACCCACGGTTTAAGAATCTGAAGTGCCTTCCAAAAATCTGAGAGGGACGAGGTGTGGAGCATGCTTTCAGAAGTCTTAAAAGAGCAACACTCCGATGTGGAAACTACAGAACCCGAACCACCAAAAAAGAAAATCAACCTTCTGCTGGTGGCATCTGAATCAGAGAATGAAAATAAACATGCGTCGGTCCACACTGCTTTGGATCGTTATCAAGCAGAACTGGTCATCAGCATGGACGCATGTCCCCTGGCATGGTAGTTGAAGCATGAAGTGACATATGAATCTTTAGCGCATCTGGCATGTAAATATCTTGCGATGCCGGCTACAACAGTGCAATGTGAACGCCTATTCTCACTTTCAGGTGACATTGTAAACAAGCGGGCAGTATCATCTCCTGCAATGTAAACAAACTGGTTTGTCTGAGCGATTGGCTGAACAAGAAGTAGGACTGAGTGGACTTGCAGGCTCTAAAATGTTACATTGTTTTATTTTTGAATGCAGTTTTTTGTGTACATAGTTCTACATTTGTAAGTTCAACTTTCATGATAAAGAGATTGTACTACGGTACCTGTATTAGAGGAATTGAAAAATTACCTTTTTTTTTTTTTTTTAAAACAGTGAAAATACTTGCAATCAAAAATAAATATCAAGTGAGCACTGTACACTTTGTATTCTGTGTTGTAATTGAAATCAATACATTTGAAAATGTAGGAAACATCCAAAAATATTTAAATAAATGGTATTCTATTATTATTATTGAATTGTGCGATTACTTTTTGTAATCGCTTGACAGCCCTAGTCAGTTCCCATGGAGGCATTCAAGCAAGTGATCACATCTCCCAGATTTGGTGCATCGGGTGCAGACCTCTTTGGAAACAACCTGGGCCTGATCAGGAGGGCTGAGCGCTTGAAAATATCTGACCCCACCTGCCCAATTCGGTGGGGGGCTCCGGAATGCCTACTGAACTCAAGATCTGAAGGCACTTGGCAACTGGCAGGATCGGGCTCTTTTAAGCGGTGTTTTTAAAGCCCCCGCCGCTCGCAATTCACAGTGTAAAAAGGGATGGGGAGTGGGAAAAAGGTTACCTCTTGAGACAGGTAGGGCAAGACTTGAGCGCAAATCCCATTTAACCGCTTGACAATTTCAGCCTGGAATTAAAAAAAAATAGTCAAACAAGACTGGCACATTCCCTGCAGATTATCTGCCCTGATCAATATCCATCCACCTGAACATCTCCCCCCCACCCCAACCTCCTTGACTCCTAGCAGAAGCCACCCAGACTCATTTAGAAAAAAAAAATAAATCCACTCCAGACCCTTGCAAAAATAAATCCTGCTGATCACACGGAGCGAGTTTTCAATATTCTCCCTTCCCTCTCAGGGACTCAAATATGCATTTAATAAAGAAAGCAGGGGCCTATAGGAAGGAAATTTATTAGAAACCAGGCTGGGAAGTGCTGAATTATGTACGATGCTCAGATCTAGACAGACATTTGTTTCACTGCTGCTCTCCCCTTCCAAGCGGGAGAGGCGGTGATGAAATTAGTTGTAGGCCTCCTTGGAATCATCTCACCCCCCTCCCCACATTATTTTTTTTAAATTCTATAAATCTTGAGCGTTTGCACCAGGAACGCTAGCAAGTGGGAGACTTGTTTAATAACAACCAATAGGCCCAGGGAGAGACAAAGGCCGATTCTTAATAAGAAGGGCAAAAAGAAAAAAAACTATAGCAGAGATCAGATAAAACAACAGTGTCGGCTGGTTCCCATGGGGTTTACTAAAGAGACTCTAAATGTTTTTTTAACGCTCTTCTCCTGGGAAACGAGCAAAGCTGTTCATAAAAAAAAAAAAATGTAAAAAGAAAGGCCAGATTCCGACTGAAGGGAGAGGAATACGGGGCCAGGTTGATGATGCACACAGGCACCTACTGGGCTTTACAGAAGCCACGAAGCAGGTTGGGGACTGAACGTGAAAAACTAGAGAGGATTCAGAGAAGAGCCAGGAGAGAGATTAAAGGATTGGGAAACATGCCTGGTAGCGACAGACTCGAGGAACTTATCAAAGAGAAGGTTAAGGGGTGACTTGATCACAGCCGAAGCACTTGCACGGGAAAGAGGCGTTTGATAAAGATCGAGGGCTCTTCACATGAGCAGACAGAGGTCTGACAAGGTCCAATGGCTGGAAGCTGAAGCTAGACAAATTCAGACTAGAAACCAGGTGCAGACAGACCCCAGTTTTCGGTTTTATTTAAATAGCCATGGAACGAGGGAATCCATGTGTAAAAATAGAGACCTATATTAACCAATAGGGACTGGTGATTTTTTGAGTGCTCAATGTGACACAACAGAAGGGGCTGGGTATTTCCTTAGGGGCTTTTTGAAAAATCAGGTCTCCAGGAAGCACTGAAAACAGCAGCAGTATAGAAACTATGCCTCATGGCCCCGACTTGGGCCTGCCAAATTCTGCAGCATCTTCCACCCAGAGCAGGGGCTTCCCTTTAACTAGAAACATTTATTTTGGATTGGTGCCGGGGCACAGGTCAGCAGCAGGAGTTTGAAGTTACCCAGAGGCCCACAGAAGAGATCTAATTTTACCATCCCCCACCCCAAAGAGATTTAAGAGGTGCATAAAATCCGCAACCTCCCAGACTCTCCCCATCAAAGAGACTCCCTGTCCGCCAGCACCTCGCCCGTCCCTGGGGCTGCCGTACGACAGCCGACCACAAGAATTTTCTACGGCCCGGGAACAGTTAAACAAAAAACCATACAGCACAAGCCCTCGTGAATCACAGGCTACTTGTTTTCAAAGAATCTTTAAAAGATTCTTCCTGCTTCCCCAGCCTTTTCAGCGGAACATGTGACCGGGAGGAAGCAGCAGCTGCTAAGGAGATCAGCAAGTCCAAACAAGATTTCAGGGGGGTTATGATCTAGGCACGTCTCTGTGCTGTACTGAGCATTCCAACAGCTCTCCGGAGGGGAGGCCGCTCAGCCTGGCATCACACCCTGCAGGGCCCCTACCTTTGATCTTTGCCCGTCTGTGGGCCGCTGTGCCTCCCCAATCCCACCTCATTCTGGTCCCCCACCTCCTCCATTGGAGCCTAACATCTGACAGGAGATGCAGAGCGCTGAGTGTGTCCCCCTCCCCCAGCCTCCCCTCTCCTCTCCAACTGGAGTCTAACCCCCAATCCATGAACGTCAAGCAACGAGGCAAGCGTGCGTCCATGCAGGGGAGCAGAAGGAAATGAATCCATCACAAAAGCAGCTCAAATCTTACGGACTAGAGAAGTTTCATGGCTTTTTGATGACTCCCACAATGAAATTAAGCCAGCAGAGGTGGGGCGGGGCGGGGCGGGGCAGAGAGGTTCAGTGAAGAAAATAACTAACTTCTTAGAAAGTCCAACCTCCTCCCACCCCATCCTAGCAGCTGCGGAAAGCGCCCAGAGAGAGAAGCTAGTCTCACCTGTTTGTGCATTTCGATATTGAGCCCGTAGGACATCTCGTAATACTGCAGGGGGAGAGGAAAGAGAAACAGCAACAACTCAGATTCCACACGCAACCAGCGTCGCAAACTCTCAAAGCTTTTATAACAAAGCCGCAAAGGAGCCAGACTGGAGCAGACCAGCGCTTTGTGAGTCACTGAACATAGTGTCAGAAGAAGGTGCAAGAAACCCTGCAGTAACTGCTCAGGAGGGGATGTTATCTTCCCATTAGGGGCTGGCTTATGCCCTGGAGCACGAGGGTTTCACATCCCTTTCTGCACTCCTGGGATGAAATCCTGGGTCCACTGGAAAAAGTTTCCACCTATTTCGAGGAGGCCAGCGCTGCATCTCTGGGGTGTTCTCGCCGTTTGGCTCCCCTGATTGCTTCATTCCGATGAACATCAACGTTCACGTGTGAGGAGTTTCTTCTCTTCCTTTTTAAAGCCGACCAGGGAACAGGGGCCCTCCCTAATTGCGATTCGAAGTTTCACGGCCGTAGCAGCCAACAAATGCAGAAATAAAACCCTTCTGTTAGCTCCCCGCTAACGGGCTGCTGGCTACAATGGACAGAGGGCAACAGCTGACTGCAGGGGCCACGTGGGATTAAATTTAATGATTTACTTAGGTGGTCAGCAACTGGTTTTTTGTACACCTGGCACAAGGGGGTTCTGGTCCCAGATTGGGGTCCCAAGCACTACCTAAGAAATGGTGGGAATTCTCTCCCTCTCAGCCCCACCAATTAGCAGGTGAGAATTGCTGATACTCACCTGCTCCTGAAAAGAATCTCATCCTTCCACATTGTCCTAAGCCCCTCTCCTCCACCACCTCTGGTTCAAAGCACATATCAATGAGAGCAGGGGCTGGCATACGAAATCAAAACTTCCCCATCCCTGTCCAAAAAAACAGCTCTCGACACCCTCACCTCACCGCACCAGAAATTATAATTTTGAAGAAGACACTAGCGCCCCTATATATACACACACACACACCCACACCACCCCCCCCCCCCCCAAAACTGCTTCCTTCACTTTCTTGTCTTTGCCGCTCACCTGTACAGCTATGGCTCCCATCAAAGACTACATTTCAGCCACCCCTATTCAGGTAACAACCAAGGCCTGGGATTGAGGCAGGGGGATGTACATGGGGTGGGGTGGGACGGTCCTTTTTATTTCTGCTTTTAAATCCATAACTCCTCCCAGAAGAAATTCTGCATTCATTCCCGCCTCTTGCCTCTCCATTCCAGGGCAGGTGCAGCAGCTGTCTGCCTGGCTCTGGGTCATCTTTATGGACAGCACTGAGAGCTTCCCATTAACTCCTTTAGACGAGCGTGTCAGCCCAACCCTCAGCACCAGCTGCGGACTCTGCACTTCCAGCCCCACCCCACCTGTGGCCAGGAGTTAAAGGTGCATGTTTAATAATACACTACAAGATGGCACTACCGAGGGCTGAGTTTTGACCACGTGTGGGAGAAGAACAGCAGAATAGTGTTTCCCTAACGAATTAAAATGGCAAAGCGTGCATCTAACAGCCAGTTCCCTGCCTGACTCTCTCCGCTGTCCTTGCACCTTCACTCCAGCACCCACTGCTCTGATGTGGTAGCGTTTCACACCCACTCTGCGTTGGCCTAGATGACTGTAGGAGAGCAAGCCGGCGGTCTAATTGACGCCCAGCAGCTGTGCTACAAGTCAGCGTTGTCTGGTGTTTGCATTACAAAACCCCATTTTACAGCAGTTTCAAGCATTGCTATTTTCCAATACACCGAGCGGAGGATAACAGTCTCGCCCCTGCCTTCCAGCCAAGGCGCTCACAGCCCTTCACCACCACTAGCAAGTCAAAGCCTCGCTACTTCCTATCAGGTTGGGACGGTAAGCACCATCCCGTTTTACTGACACACTGAGAGGTCAGTAGCAGAGCCAGGAATCAAACCCTTGGACCTTGATGCCCAGGTCTGAGCTGGAACTGCTCAGCCATGCTTCCTCCCAGCAGCTTGTCAGCTGGGGTTTTCCCAGCCCTCCTGGGATTTCACTCCACTTCCATCTTCCTTAGCACATAACACCTCTGCTTCTCCACGGGCCGGCTGTCACCAAGTTCTTCAAGGAGTCTGGTGGCACCTTAAAGACTAACAGATTTACTTTGGGCATAAGCTTTCATGGGTAAAACCTCACTTCTTCAGATGCAGGCTTTTACCCACAAAACGCTTATGCCCGAATAAATCTGTTAGTCTTTAAGGTGCCACCAGACTCCTTGTTGTTTTTGTAGATACAGACTAACACGGCTACCCCCCTGATACTTGACACCAAGTTCTTCTGCCTGTCGCTTACAGAACAAGGACATCCCTTTCCCAGGACTGGCAACTCCCTGCCACGTCTGATGATGCCCCTGGCAACACTGCCCCCAAGAACCCTCAGGTCTCTCCCAAAATACCTCTGGGTCCGTTTTTAATGACCCTTCTCGCTGTGGTATCCGAGTGCCTGGAGACCATGTTTGGCTCCCTGCTGGAAAACAACCCATGACACGTGCGTTTCCTTTACTCTGTTGTCTTGTCTATTTTGTTCGTAAGCTCTCTGGGACATGGACTGTCTGTACAGCGCCCGGCACAACTCTCCGCTGGCCCCATAATAATCCAACATGGAGTATTTCCTTACAAATCTGTCTAACTTCTCCTCTCTTTGGGGCCCGTCAATTCTGTATTCCTAGTTTAGCGGTTCTCAACCATTCCTATAACACATCTGCCCTAAATCTCCCCTCCCACCTCGCCAGGGATCCCACCCTCACATGGCAACACAACAGAGGCAGGAAGGTGGTGACATCTGCTGGTCACCCACCAAGTGGAGAAGCCGCGTTCCAGTTACTTTGATTGGGGCGAGGGGAGGGGAGGGGAGTCATGGACTGGGTAGATCTGAGGGCTAGCGTTCTGTTTAACTGCGTCCTCCCACATCCCACTGGGGATGCCCCTCGCCTCCGCCCCACGCCCTCTGGTACTGGAGCAGAGCCTTACCATGACATAGTGACGTTGCATCTCTGATTTCTCGCTGGCCAGCTTGTCACATTCCAACTTCAAGCTGAAAGATCAAAAACAGACAGGGACTCAGAGAGCTTGGCTAGAGATCACAATGGTTTTTGGGGAGCTACAACTCTCGGCTCATGAACAGTTGTTTCCTGTATGTTTGTACAGCACCTAACACCATGAGGCCCCCAAACACGACAGCAATCGAGCGGTTATAAAGAAGATTGTAAGCTCTTTGGGATACCGACTGTCTTTGTGTTGTGCCTTTGTACAGCGCTGAGCAAAAGGGGGTCCTGATCCATCACTAGTGCTACCACAATACAGATAATTAAAGAGATACTCTAACAGCATTAGACTGCCCAGTGACGAGAAGGGCTTACACCCGGTTACCCATTAGTCAAGCCTTTATTTTTCAGCAGAAACAGAGAACACTGGAAGGAAGGCGAGTTCTCCAACTGGCCCTTGGGACCACTCCTGCAGCCGTTGTTACGTGAGCCAAGTCACAGGTGTCAGGAAGGATTGAAGCATGGACTGATTTCCAGATCCTGTCAGGAATTATCACATGGGCTGTCGGGACAGTATTACACATACTCTCCTGAAAGATTCTGGGTGCATTATGGGAAAGTAATAATTACCTGACTAATTCATGCAGGCACTCCAAAAACAAAACCAAACCAGCATCTTCTATTATTTAATGTATTTAAATTTAATAAAGCAGGTGATTTCCACGGCTAGAATTTCAGCAAGCATGTGCCATGGTTTTAGATTTCAAACAAGGAACAGCTTTACCTTTACCTTCCCAGAACCTGTTTCTTTTCCAGCAGATTAGATCTCGCAAATGTCTCCCACTGAAAGACCTCCAGTCTAACGCAGCTGTATTTCTGGCACTTGCCTACACCACATATGGCACTGCTAAAAGCAGAGGTGTTCTGGGAAATCAGCCATTTCTGAATAGCGACTTGTGACCACCACAGACTTCTGTTGTGATACTCTAGGCACGAACCTGCACTCCTATTGTCCAGCAGCAGCCCGACTGGGATGCAAGGCACGTGGGAAAGTCATAGCAGTGCTAAATGAACAAGCTAACAGCCACGAAAAGTCATGTCCATAAGGGCACAAAATGGACAGATCCGAACGGCGTAGTCGATAATTAAAGAGGATACCATCAGGTTGATTTAGGCCCCACCTTTTAGGTGTTGTTACAATAAAAGCCAAATCTTAAGATCACTAGAAACGTTTCTTTGAAAAAATTGAAATTCTTAGATTTAAACATTCCCCTGCAGCGTTTGCCACCGAAACATTGCCACCACGGGCTAGTGCATGGGAACCAGAATGCAAAACTGACTAGAAATTCCCAACCAGAGTGCAACCGGCTAGTCCACCATCGTCGCCAGAATTGAGCAAAAGGACAAACCAACAGCACTGCTGCTCAAGGGAAAAATTTAAAGCATTCAGCTTTAATTATCTAAAGGGTTATAACACTGCATGATATTTTTTTCCCCACAGCTTCGGTGCCATTTCAGCCATGGCCAGTCCTTGCTCTAATGCGTTCAATTACATTTCAAGTGTGGCCACTGGGAAGGAAGTCCTCTTCCAAAGCACATTGCTAGGGTCTCTTTCTCCTTCCTCGGGGATCGCCTGCTAGGATCAGTTCTATTTCCCTGGCAACTGCAGCGGTATACGGGGGGAAGGCTGCAAGAAACTGGTCTGGTTCTTCCAGCTGTCTATCATCACGTAGCTATCTAGCCAATCAGCTCCGAACAACCCTTCCCCTCCTGTAGAGCCTTTTTTTAATTTTAAAGCTTCACACCAGAGGAGAACAAGTGACAGGCCCTTGGGACCCACCTGCGAAAGCATCATTTATCACCGCCATCTCTGGCTAGATATCGAGAGCGTCACAGTGACAACACGCAGCATATTAGGAGAGCATCCGTTACGGCTCGCTGGGAGGAGGGGCATCACCGAGACAACACGTACTTTGGCCTGGGCATTGAAAAACATCCCCGCTGGCTCCCGCCGGGTCCTTAGGCATGGAGAGCCGGACAGGGCGCAGAAGAGAGGGAGAACACCGGGCCGCCCACCAGGCTGCGGCCAGCCGCAGGACACTCCGGCTCACCTGTGATACTGAGCCTGCAGGAGCTGGAATTCGTCCTTAATCCGGTCACAGGAATCGGAAGTTGTGAACTTCAGCTGCTGCGGCAGGTGAGAGGAGCCCTTTAACGACACAGAACAGAGCGCCTGCCAATAAGGGAGGAGGGAAAGCAATGCCCAGACGAGCCCTTCCCCTCCAGCACAGCTGCCTCCATGCCCCAGCACTGGGCAGTCACCTCCTGCTTCCAGGCCTTACCAATGACGGCAATAACAGCCCCCTTCCTTAGCACTTTTGCTCCAAGGAGCTGGAATTAAGCCGCACCCCATCTCTGAGAAACACCTATTACCCCATCTCTCAGCTGGGGAACGCAGGTCCAGAAAGGTGACATGACTTGCCCAAGGTCATGTAGCCCTGGCACTGACCCACTGTCTACGGCACTTAGCAGAGAGCCAGATATCTGACCGCCTCACAATCTTTAATGTGTTTATCCTCACGACACCCCTGTGAGGGAGGGCAGGGCTCTTATCTCCATTTTACAGATGGGAAACTGAGGCACGAACAGGCTAAGTGACTGGCCCAAGGAACGGAACCCAGGTCTCCCCAGTCCCAGGCTAGCACCCTAACTGCTGAGCCCCCCTTTCACCTAGCTGATCACTGCTCGCAGAGCCTTCGCCACAACACCTCCTTTAATAACAGGAACCTGGGCCCCTCTTCAACCAGGAAACACCCCACTGGAGAAATCCGACACAGAATTTTATAAGGAGAATTGACTGGGGTGGAGGTGGGTTTACAACATCCTCCTCCCCCATCCCCGATCTTCCAGCCTAGTTTTTTTTAAGGCAACATAAGAATGGCCATACTGGGTCAGATCAAAGGTCCATCCAGTCCAATATCCTGTCTACCAACAGTGGCCAATGCCAGGTGTCCCAGAGGGAGTGAACCTAACAGGTAATGATCAAGTGATCTCTCTCCTGCCATCCATCTCCACCCTCTGACAAACAGAGGCTAGGGACACCATTCCTTACCCATCCTGGCTAATAGCCATTAATGGACTTAACCACCATGAATTTATATAGTTCTCTTTTAAACCCTGTTATAGCCCGAGCCTTCACAACCTCCTCAGGCAAGGAGTTCCACAGGTTGACTGTGCGCTGTGTGAAGAAGGACTTCCTTTTATTTGTTTTAAACCTGCTGCCCATTAATTTCATTTGGTCGCCCCTAGTTCTTATATTATGGGAACAAGTAAATAACTTTTCCTTATTCACTTTCTCCACCCCACTCGTGATTTTATATACCTCTATCATATCCCCCCTTAAGTCTCTTTTCCAAGCTGAAAAGTCCTAGCCTCTTTAATCTCTCCTCATATGGGACCCATTCCAAACCCCTAATCATTTCAGTTGCCCTTCTCCGAACCTTTTCTAATGCCAGTATATCTTTTTTGAGATGAGGAGACCATATCTGTACGCAGTATTCAAGATGTGGGCGTACCATCGATTTATATAAGGGCAATAAGATATTCTCCGTCTTATTCTCTATCCCCTTTTTAATGATTCCTAACATCCTGTTTGCTTTTTTGACTGCCGCTGCACACTGCGTGGATGTCTTCAGAGAACTACCCACGATGACGCCAAGATCTTTTTCCTGATTAGTTGTAGCTAAATTAGCCCCCCATCATATTGTATGTATAGTTGGGGTTATTTTTTTCCAACACTCCTATCCTACATGGCTCTAACTAGACGTGGGTATTAAAAAGCGGAGGAAGAACAAACATTTATTCTTTTCTGTCAGGATAATCATGGGCTCAAGAAGCCCCCACTGCAGAAAGGGGAGCGGGGGAAGAGAAATATTCCAGTAAGCACATCCCCCACCCCAAAAAAACAGAGGGAACAACGCAACCAGCTTTATGGAAAAGAGCTTCCCAGGTAAATGTGCTGATTTACACACACACCCCGACACATCACACTCCCCCCATCCTGTCCCAGCCAGCACCCCCAGCTCCTGCATCCCACCAGCTTGCCCCACCTAGCACCGAACCCCCAACTTGTCCCAGCCAGCACCCCAAACTCTATCACCCCTTCCACCAGCCTGCCCCAGCCAGCACCCAACCCCCAGACTGCTCCAGCCAGCACCCCCACATTCCAACTGGCACCCCCAAGCATGCAACCCCACAGCTGGCCACAGCCAGTACCCCCAGCATTCAACCCCCCCAACTTGTCCTACCCAGTACCCCCATATCTCTCCCAACTTGTCCCACCACCCCACCTGACTACCCCACTGCACCCCAAAATATGCCAAAACACCCCCTCCCCACAGCAACACCCCCTTTCCCTGCTGCCAGGGGCTAGGCCCCTCAAGCACAAGTTGTGGCAGCTTCTCCCAGCTGCACTTCCTGGGCCAAGGGTACCACCAGCCACCCACTTCCCCCCAGTGCCTTGCTGACCCCCCATGCCACCCCCACCCTATCACTCCCTAAGCCCCCTCCCTACACCCCACCTCCCTCAGGGCCTCTCAGCCATGAGCCACCCGGCCCAGCCCCTAAGCACATACCCCCAGCACCCCTTCACCTCCTGCTCCTATGCATCCCCTTACCCACAGGGCCCCCTGCATTTAACCCAGAGCCCCCCCATCAGACCTCCCATGCACACACTCCTGTGCTCCAAGTCCCCCAGACATCCCCCCTCCCCACCAGTGCACCCAGCCCCTCCAGGCATCCCCCCCCCCATGCACACACTGGTGCGCCCAGCCCCCCCCTCAGGAATTTCCCCCACACCAGTGCACCCAGCCCCTCTACG